TCCCATGTAGTGGGTTTTCTTGTTGTTTTGTTGATGGTTTCTTTTGCTGTGCAGAAGCTTTTTATTTTGATGTAGTCCCATTTGTTCATTTTCCCTTTTAGTTTCCATTGCCCTAGGAGCTGTGTCAGCGAAGAAATTCCTTCGGCATATATCTGAGATTTTGCTACCTGTGGATTCCTCTAATATTTTTATGGTTTTCCGTCTTACGTTTAAGTGCTTTATCCATTTTGAGTTTATTTTTCTGTATGGTGTAAGTTGGTGGTCTAGTTTCATTTTTTAACATGTGTCCGACCAAATTTCCCAACACCATTTATTGAAGATACTGTCTTGACTCCATTGTATGTTCTTGCCTCCTATGTTAAATATTAACTGAGCATAGTGGTTTGGGTCAATTTCTGGGTTCTCTATTCTATTCCATTGATCTATATGTCTGTTCTTGTGCCAGTGCCAGGCAGTTTTGAGAACAGTGGCTTTGTAATACAGCTTGATATCTGGTATTGAGATCCCTCCGACTTCGTTCTTCTTTCTTAGCATCGCAGCAGCTATTCGGGGTTTTGTTTTTTTTTTATTCCAGATGAATTTTTGGAGAGTTCTTTCTAGATCTGTGAAATATGCTGTTGGTATATTAATGGGGAGTGCATTGAATCTATAGATTGCTTTGGGTAGTATGGATTTACCATTGAACCAAAAAAATTAAGATACCTAGGAATAAACTTAACTAAGGAGGTAAAAGACCTCTACCCAGAAAACTACAGGACATTGAAAAAAGAGATAGAGGAAAACATTAACAGATGGAAGAACATACCATGTTCATGGATTGGTAGAATCAACATAATCAAAATGTCCATACTACCCAAAGCAATCTATAGATTCTCAAGTCTTTATGTCTGGGGACCATTGGAGCACGTTAGAGCAAGGTTGAGAGCAAGAGTGAGATGGTTATCTCTGTGCATGTTAGCATTTGACAGAGACTACTCTCAAAGATTTGAGAAGACAGTTTTAAGTGATAGAAGATTTGCATCTAAAAAACATAAAAAAGGTGTAGAGAAAGTAGTATTTGTAATTGCAAGGTTTCTAAAGTCACCACTCTAAGAGGAGGTCCAGGGACCTGTGCTTATCACCAGGTTTTGGCTAGAACAAAGAGTAAATTCTCCTGTCAAGGTGGAGCTTTCTCAGGCAGGCACTTCAAGGGGGGTGAGGGGTGTTGGAGGGGCGGAGTCATTCTAGGAATGCTGCCTGCCTTGAGCTGTTAGAAACTTTTCCAGTATTTGTTGAATCTTTTATTGGGTGGAACAGTGCAGGCAGGAGTGGACAATGAAATTATTTGTGCCTAGAGTTTGCCATTTTTATAGGCCAAGGTTGGGGACCAGTTGACAAGAGAGCTCAGAGGAACCTGACTAGAGTTTGGTGAATAAGAGTCTTTGTCAGATACTTTTTTTTTTTTTAATGACAGGTATAGGGTTAAGGAGAACGGACAAGGGACTAGCCATACAAATATTAGCATTAAGTTTCCCTATTTAGTTTTAGATTTCAACGTGAATTTTTTTGTTTATCCTAAATCTGTGACTTAATTCCTCATATAGTGTCAGCAAGAGGCACTTCAGTACTAAGAGAACAGTCATATTTGAAATAAGCTGAAAGCATTGTAACTTTTTAAACAAATACATTTTTATTGATTTTAGAGAAGAAAGGAGAGGAGAGAGAGATAGAAACATCAATGATGAGAGAGAATCATTGATTGGCTGCCTCCTGCATGCCCCACACTGGGGACTGAGCCCACAGCTCAGGCATGTGCCCTGACCTGGAATTGAACCATGACCTCAATGCTCAACCAGTGAGCTATGCCAGCAGGGCTGTAACTTTTTTTTTCCCCCACCTGCTGGGTACAGTGACATTTCTTTGCAGTAATTCTATTGAAAAAGAATGTCATATAGTAGGCAGGAGAGGTGGGGTGAGGGCTTGTGCATGGGGGAGAGTGTGGTGGGGGAGAGGTCAATGGGGGATAAAAGACTCAGGTAATACTTTAAACAATGAAGAATTAAAAATAAAAGAATGTCAGTTGAACTAAAAGGGGGCAAATACTTTGAAATGACTGCTGTTTTGAAATTATTATCATTATGGGTGAATAGACATATTTGGAGGAACCAAGAAATGAATTGTTTTTTTTTCCCTAAAATAATGCCAAACTTGAATTGCATTCTTAAAGAAAATAGTTAATATTATCATTTTCTTTTCTTACTACTGTCACTTCCTATATGGTAACAATTGATCTAAAGAAAAGTTGACCCATATGGAAGTTTAACAAGTGTGGAAAATATTTTTTTAAAACCTTACATTTCAGCCTAATTTTAAACTGGATAAATTTCCATGGATGACAGGAAATATTTGAGGTATGTAAGTATATATAACTGTAACTTGCCAGTTATTAAACAACATTCTACTTTAGCTTGTCTCAAAATACAACTTCTAATTAAACAGCCTTTGAAAAGTACTGAAAACATTTTAAAGCAAAAAAAAAGTTTCTGTTGCCCTTCTTATTATTTATTTTTTTGCAAGTAATGTGCTTGCAAATAATTAGCTGGGTTTTTTTTCAAGGGATAAATATTCCAACTTGTAATTTTCCCAATTGGACAAGTAGTTACTCAATTTTAAGGCAGTTTGTGCCTTTGGACAATTTTAATTCAACAAATATTTTTAACTGCTTACTCCATGCTAGGGACTGTGTTAACTATTCCATATGCACTGGTAAACAGAGCACATATATTGTATACCCTCAGGGAGCCTGCAATTTTATGATGAAGTAGAATGATACATTAATATATCTAATATAATTAGATATTATAAATGCTGTAAAATAATAGTCTCTTTATTTATAAACCAGTTATATTATTCATGCAGTCATTATAATGGCAAATATATATATCATACAATTTACCTAAATTAAAAATAAATGGCTGCAGCCTGTAAAGGGGAAACTAATCCATTCTGCATTATCATTATAAATCAGACTATAGATGTGGAAAAAGATATACAGTGGGGCCTTGACTTACGAGTGTCCCGACTAACGAGTTTTTCGAGATACGAGCTGTCTCTCGGCTGATTTTTTGCTTTGAGTTGCGAACTAAAGTTCGGGTTATGAGACAGCTTCAGATACCCCACTACTAGTTGGCGCAGTGAACATCACAGTGAATGCCACAACATCAGCCCAGCATCACGTGTCTCACTCGCTCACTTTTTGATTTGACATATGAGTAATTTGAGTTACGAGCTCCGTCATGGAACGAATTAAACTCGTAAGTCAAGGTCCCACTGTATGGATATTATGCATATGTATACATATGCCTGTTTACTTATAAACACCAAGATAAATCAAATGTTCAGATCATCAATGTATGTATATGCATCCCTTTTGGAAGACCTCAACAACTGATTTTGTGTAACTGATAAAAGGCTCACCACAATTATTCTACTAATAATAGAAATATTGAACCCATTTACCTCTGTGGGTACAACCAAGTATACTTCAAAGTTTTACAGAAATGAAAATCTTTCATTTTCAATTCCTATCATACAGAATTACATTTGGTCATTGGATGAATTATTTCATCATTCCTAGGCCAACTCCTGAAAAAGAAATCTGAAAAGAATGTCTTCTATTTATTATATTCTCTCTCTAATTTCAGCCTCAGGGAATTGAGTTCAATGATTAGCATTTAATTGATCAAAACAACTGATAATGCCCTAAAATCTCTTCTCCTTTTATAGACGAATGTTCTCTGAACAACGGAGGCTGTAGCAACCACTGTTCTGTTGTTCCCGGAAGAGGAATTGTCTGCTCCTGCCCTGAAGGACTTCAGCTCCACAAAGACAATAAAACGTGTGAGATCGTGGATTATTGTAGCAATCACCTAAAGTGCAGTCAAGTGTGTGAGCAGCACAAGCACACGGTCAAGTGCTCATGTTATGAAGGGTGGAAGCTGGATGTAGACGGTGAAAGTTGCACAAGTATTGGTAAGCAGATGTGTGTTTTGCTATATTTAACAATAGCAAGTGCTTTTTTGTTTCTGTGTATTGTGTATCTTTCTATATTTAAGAATAGAACTTAAGCCGTAGCCAGTTTGGCTCAGTGGATGGAGCATCGGCCTGCGGACTGAAGGGTCCCAGGTTCAATTCCAGTCAAGGGCATGTACCTGGGTTGTGGGCACATCCCCAGTAGGGGGCGTGCAGGAGGCAGCTGATCGATGTTTCTCTCTCATTGATGATTCTGCCTCTCTATCCCTCTCCTTTCCTCTCTGTAAAAAATCAATAAAATATATTTTTTAAAAAAGAGTAGAACTTAAGAAAAAAATCTAAAGACACCTTCAGAAAATTAGCAAAAGGGTTGATTTAATTTTAGGTAAGGCATAAGTAGAATCTTCTGGACAGGAAATGTTACAATAATCCTTACAATTCATCCAATTATTTCTCCCTCAGATACTGTTTTTATCATCAACCCCCCTAGGAACTTACTTTTGTATGCTCCAAAGCTTTTACTTTTATTTCTCTTTACATTCTTTTTAGAATCTAAAGTCTGGTCTTTTCCCACACTTGTAACTGTATTCCTAGCACTCCTGAAAACAACTCCTTGTTCTGGCTGTTTTCATCTTGTAACTCCCATTTGAAACACTGTGCTGATTCTCTAGGTCAGTGGTCAGCAAACTGCGACTCAGCAAACCTCGGCTCGCGAGGCACATGCGGCTCTTTGGCCCCTTGACTGTGGTTCTTCCACAAAATACCAGCTCTTCCATAAAATACCAACTTCTGCACATGGGCCAGGAAGTTTCAACCGCACTGTACATGCGTGCCTGCATGTGGTATTTTGTGGAAGAACCACACTCAAGGGGACAAAGAGCCAGCTGCATGTGGCTCGCGAGCCATGGTTTGCCGACCACGGCTCTAGGTCATATTTCACAGTGGGAAAAGCATATGAAGGCTGTGGAGTTCAGCATTTGGATTCTAATCCTGCAGCTGGCATTCATTATGGATGTGACTCCAGACAGGTTACATAAAACTCCTTGAGCTTCGGTTTTCTCATCGTTTAAATACCAATGCCCATTATAACAGTATCTCCCCTATAGCATGTTGCAAGAATAGATGGAATACTTGTTACTGTGCCCCACACCCATTAGGTGCTTAATGAATGGCGGCATCCCACTGTCTTTCCAGATTTGTAGTCTGTATCTGCAGGACACTTAGTGGTCCATGACTAAAATTGAAGGGGTCCATGAACTTCGTTGGAGAAAATATCACACCTCTATTTTATTTACCCTCTCACAGAAAGTTAACATTTCTTCCAATTGTGAATGTATGACACAGACCAATTACTATCAGCAACTCTGACTGTATCTCCAATAGAAGTAATAGACATATTTATATCATGTTAAAGTTTCTATATCTCAAAATGTCACTTATGTTCAAGCTTTGAAAACTACAACTACTTCAATAATAGGAGTCATTAGACCCACTGCTGATGGCTATTTGCAGGCTGGCCACAGCCCCTTCAGGTTGGGGGTCCCCGCTGGGGTGCCTGGCCAGCCTGGGTGAGGGGCTGATGGCTGTTTGCAGGCTGGCCATGGCCCCCAGTGTCCCAAGCTCCCAGGGGAGGCTGGCTGGAAGCAGGTATCTGGGATTTATTTAGCTTCTATAATTGAAACTTTGTTGCCTTTTGCGGAGGCCACAGCCGGCCAGGCAGGCGGGAAACTTGGCTTCCTCTATCGCCAGGGTAACCAAGCCTCCTGCTTGCTCCAGCTCCGTGGCTGCCGGCCGCCATCTTGGTTGGGTTAATTTGCATATAATCACTCTGATTGGCTGGTGGGCATGGCTTGGGCGTAGCAAAGGTACAGTCAATTAGCATCTTTGTCTTTTATTAGTGTAGATATATAATTTATGTTTTTACTCTACTGTAGTTTATTTAGTGTGAAACAGTATTATGTCTATTAAGTAATATACTGTACATACATCAACTTAAAAATACTTTAATGCTAAAGAATACTAACCATTACATGAAGCTTCAAGAGTCATAGTCTTTTTGCTGGTGGAGGGTCTTGCCTAGATGTTGATGGCTGCTGACTGGTCAGGGTGGTGATTGCTGAAGGTTTGGGTGGCTGTGGCAATTTCTTAAAGTAACACAACAATAAAGTTTGCTGACTCTTTCTGTCCCAAACAGTTTCTCTGTAGCATGTGACACTGTTTAATAGCATTTTACCTACAATAGAACCTCTTTCAAAATTGGAGTCAGTCCTTTTACACACTGGCACTGCTTTATCAACTAAGTTTATATAATACTCTGAACCCCATATTAAATTGCAACCATCTTTACTTTAGTCTTCATAAAGAGTAGATTTCATTTCAAGAAACTACTTTCTTGGTTCATTCGTAAGAATTAACTCCTCATCTGTGAAAATTTATCATGTGATTTCAGCAACTTAGTCACATCTTCAGGCCCCTCTTCTCATTCTATTTCTCTCGCTATTTCCACCACATCTGAAGTTGCTTCCTCCACTAAAGTCTTGAGCCCTTGAAAGTCATCCATCGGGGTTGGAATCAACTTTTTCTAAACTACTATTAATGTTGATATTTTCTCCTCTTTCCATGAATCACTAAGGTTCTTAATGGCATCTAGATTGGTGACTTCTTTCCAGAAGGTTTTCAATTTACCTTGCCCAGATCCATCAGAGGATTCACAGTTGATGGCAGCTATAGCCTTACAAAATGTGTTTCTGAAATAATATGCTTTAAAGTCAAAATTACTCTTTCATTCATGGGCTGCAGAATGGATATTGTTAACAAGCATGAAAACAACATTAATCTCATTGTACATCTCCATGAGAGCTCCTCAGTGACCAGGTGCATGTTTAAGGAGCAGTGCTATTTTATAAGGAATCATTTTTCCAGAGCAGTAGGTCTCAACAGTGGGCTTAAAATATTCAGTAAACCATGGTAAACAGATTTGCTGTCATTCAGGCTTTGTTGTTTTATTTATAGAGCACAGGTCGAGTTGACTTACCATTGTTCTTAAGGGCCTTAGGTTTTTGAAATGGTAAATGTGACTTGGCTTCAACTTTGTCACCAGCTGCATTAGCCCTTAACAAGAGAATCAGCTTATCCTTTGAATCTTTCAAGCCAGGGACTGACTTCTCTTCTGTATCTATGAAAGTCTTAAATGGCATCTTCTTCCAAAATAAGTCTGTTTCATCTACATTGAAAACCTGTGGTTTAAGGTAGCCACCATTAATTATCTTAGCTAGATCTCCTGGATAACTTTCTGCATCTTCTATATCAGCACTGGCTGCTTTAACTTCTCACTTTAGATTATGGAGGCAGCTTCTTTCTTTAAACTTTACGAACCAGCCAAGCTTCAAACTTTTCTTCTGCAGCTTCCTCAATTGAAGGTTTTGGCTTAGGGGTATTGTGGCTGGTTTGATCTTCTATCCAGACCACTAAATGATGTTGTTTTTTATATATCCTATATAATAAAGAGGTAATATGCAAATTAACCCTCATGCCCTCACAAGATGACTGCCTATGACCAGGCCAGGATCGGACCTAAACCGGCAGTCGGACATCCCTCGAGGGGTCCTGGATTGGAGAGGGTGCAGTCTGGGCTGAATTTCGAGTACCGGTCCTCTAGTATATATATAAGCACTAAGGCTGTTACTTATCATTGGTGTGTTCACTTGAGTAACACTTCTAATTTTCTTCAAGAACTTTTCTTTTGCATTCATAATGTGGCTAACTGGTGCACAAGGCTTTTGGACGTTTTCATGACTCTGTTGCTAAGCTCAGTCATTTCTAGCTGTTGATGTAAGTGAGAAATATTTGACTCTTTCTTCACTTGAACACTTACAGGCCATTTTAGGATTGATAATTGACTTAATTTTAATATTGTTAAATTTAATATTATCAGAGAATGCATTGGCCCTAGGAGAGGGAGAGTGGTGGGAATGGCCAGTTAATGGAGTAATCAGAAGACACACAACATTTATCCATTAAGTTATCTGTTTTATATGAGTGGAAGTTCATGGTGCACCAAGACAATTACAGTAGTAACATGAAAGGTCATAGATCACAGATCTCCATAACAAATATAATAATAATGAGACAGTTTGAAATACTGCAAGAATTACCAAAATGTGACACAGAGACATTAAGTAAACAAATGCTGTTGGAAAAATGATGCCAATAGACTTGCTTAACTAAGTAGCATTTAACCTTTAATTTGTAAAAAACAACAACAACAACAAAAAAAAAACTACAGTACTGCAAAGCACAAAAATTGACCTGCCTATATTTTACATTTTAAATATAATATGGGGCTTTTCTTACATGAAGAATGTAACCTGCTGGTAATTTATCCCTTTCTAAAGCATTTCATTTACTTCATTTTTTTACAAAAAGTTCTATCCTAGATTCATAGTTCAATAAAAATAAATAGACTAGTAATTATAGAACTTCATAAATAATTTTTTTTTGCTCTTTTCTTTATTTCCATAATTCTTAAGTTGAGTCCTGGTTTTTAAAATGTGTTTTTCCTATTGAATGCAACACCTGTGCTAATTCTCTTTGTTCAGAAATAAAGAGTAATACAACTCTTTATGCTTCAATTTAGAACAATGATGCCACATTATTTTTTCCTTTTGAATTTTGCTCTTTTGTTCTTTCATGTTTTCTTCTCTAATTTTTTCTTCCTAAATTCTATACCACCTGTTTTTTTCTAAATTGCTGAACTTAATTCAAGATTTTTTAAGTTCCCACCTAACAACTTATTAGTTAAATGTAATGATTTTCATAATTACTGCTTTTATGTTATCTATCTACACTAATAAAAGAGAAACATGGTAATTGGCGTACGACCGCTACCCTTTTCATTGGCTAATCAGTGAGTATATGCAAATTAACTGACAAACAAGATGGCGGCTAATTTGCATATGTCAGCTCCAAGCCACAGACTGAGGCTTTAGGCCTAGGCCGGG